AGCCCCTGCGTGTCGGGAGGCTATCTGACATCCACGGTAAAACGGAGATTTCACCGACATTTCACCTCTAACCTCTAGCGATTTAACCTTCTCCTCACCCCATCCTAACCTTAACCCAGTATGTCAGTCTAAATTTTCCGTGTTTGAGAGGAACAATGAAACGCAAAACAAAGCTCTGCATGCGCAAGCTGGTTAAGGTTAGGCTGGGGGTGAGGGGAAGGTTAAATACCAATGTAGAAGGGGTAAATGTTGTTGCTTTTAAGCCTAATATGTTACCTTTACTTTTGACCAATAAGATGTGATATTCTATATAAATAAAGAGCATCACTCTGATTGGTCTTTGAATGTTTAATCAGAAGAATTAGGATTCTTTGCTTTTTTCAGTGATCAAACACACTTCGTACCAATTCAGGCAGAGTCAAGTTTACAAAAAGTAAGAAATTTATTTTCTAAACAAATTAAAAACAAGACAAGTTAAATAAGACGAATGTGATGGATGAAGATAAGTGGATGGGATGTGATGTTTATAAGAACCTTGCATCTAGAAGAAACCGAGTTCTGGGTGTGAAAAGAATTTGTGGTTGTTATAAGCTAAAGAGTGGATTTATCAAAACCACATCAGACGTATTCATGCTGTGTCTACCTCACCCTTTTTGGAGACCCTCTTCGCGGATCTGGAGGTCAGGAAGGTCGGATGACCTCTGGGCACCGAGGTTCAGTAGATTAACCGCAGCACCGACTACTCCAGTCCAGAGATGTCACCAGGCGAAACAGGTTGTAACTAGTTTGCATCTAGAACAGCTGTTTCTGGGTAGCTGTGGCGTGTAGCAGGTTTTGACAGCTTGTCAAGAGATGCGATGGTTAGAGAGATTTCTCCCGGTGGCCAGTCCGGAGTTCTGCTCAAAACTAAATTGAATCACTCAGCAAGTGATTCTGTTTTAATATTCCCATATTATGATTACATGGCCAATCAGGACAAAAGAGGTTAAGAGGTGTTAGCAAACAAACCTCAGAACACACGTCTTTTCCAGATACCAAAGATGCTCTGATTTGCGGATAAGAAAATATTCATGTGCATGCAATTACTTTAACGTTTATCATGGAGATATGGTGAGTGTGTGCTTGTCCAGTCAGTATGCTGATTAAATATATGGGTCATATATAATTCATTTCATCCTTATTAATCTTAGCACAGGTTAATCAAAACATTTCATTTAACCATATTGTCCATTTAAAACATGATTAGTTATGAAAGTTCATCCTTTCATGAGAGTGTGCAATCCTGCGGTCTTATCAAAAGAAAGCTTTGTTTGGGAACATAGGCTGGCATCTTGTGCCCCTGAAATGTCAATTTGCACTGCAGAATCTTCTGGGCTTTAGAAGACAGAATAGAAACTCCACTCAGATAGTGGAATTAAGTCTGTAGGTGACCGGACATTGTGTAGGTTACTACGTAGGTGAAAACGGACCCTTTCTGGACGTTACACCAAGAAGGTAAAGGTCACAATTTGGTCAAATGTCTGTTTTACCACAGGCGTCGGGAGGCGACACTCTGGCACAGCGCGTCGCCTCCCAGCGCTGATCATTTTTGCTAAATAACAATGTTATATAAATGTGTATGCAAACATCATCTGCTAAACGTTATTATGAAGTAGGAACTTTGCTGAATTTCTGCTGGCGTTGAAAGCAGCCATGTGATTGGATATCTGTGATGTAAATCCTGGCTAGGGATACCCCCCTCCTATAAGATGTACTGCCTTTTTCATTCAACAGAATAAACGTAGCTGGCCACACTCAGCCACAGATCTCTATTATTGACCTACTTTCTACGTTTTACATCATTTGGGCAATAATATGACACCAACTCCATGCGGAAGGGGAGGAATGAACAGCGATCATTCAGTGATACCCTGTCATCAAGAGTTTTCAGTTTCACTGGCTCAGTGAAACTGAAAACCAATGAATTGTAGTGAGCACAATGTTTACAGTATCTGACTTAGGTTCACATTTAACTTAGGACAAAAAACTCAACGTCAGATTAACAGTGAGCAAAAACAAAATGCTAGAGATCAGTAAAGAGTATTCATGACTGCCAATATTGGGGCAAACCCTTTGATCTGTGCAGATTACCGTCTCACTGCACTGTGATCATCAACAGGAATGCAATGATTTTTAAGAACATTTAATTAATATTGTGTGTGTTGTGTTTTTGGCAAGAATAAAATATTGGTGATGATGAATCTAATCTTCAGTGATGGAATGTAGCCAAGTGCACGTACTTTGTTACTGTACTTAAGTACTATTTTTGAGTATCTGTACTATAGGTAAAGTACATACTCCATCTCTGTTTAAGGTGACGCCACCAACATTGTCGATGCTCTGACGAAGGCTACAGTGAGAGCTGAAACATGTCAGCAAAACGGTAGAAACAAGCTCTATTCACTCATAGTGAAGAACGAAAAACATGGAATCAGATAAGGAACAGAACGAATGTAACAAACATGCTGCTGATAGATGTCTCACACATCAAAAGCACACTCCTCAAATATTTGCAATCAAGCGAACATATTAGTTGACCTATATCTGACGCACATGTCATGACTAATTTGCATAACCTTGCTGATGTAGGCACACACACACACACACACACTATCACACACAGAGTCACTTCCCTGTCAGTGACCTAAATAAAGCTGACAACTGCATCATGGTTCCTACCTTTGCTGTTTCCGTCAGGACCCCGTAGCACTGTGCACTCCTCGATGACTCCATAGGGTTCGAAGAGACGGTAAACATCCTCCTCGGTCTGTTGTTTGTTCAGCATCCCAACAAACAGCTTCCTGTCTTCTGAAACAAACAAAAAAAGGAGACAAAAGGTTGCATTATAAGTGACCTCAATTATGAAAGCAATTAGGGAGCAGGCGGATAGTGTGAAACATTTTCATTACAGCAACAGCAATTAAAAAATAAATCTATTTCTCAGTGGAAAAACATGTATTATGTCCACAGGTGCTGAGGAACAAGCATCTAGTTTATTTCCTGAAGGTCGGGCTCGAGTCACAGTGGTTTAGCCCCCCCCGTCCTGATCAATCTTTTGTATAAGTGAGTTTAGTCCCATATGAGCTCATGTACTGTAGCTGCGAGGGGTAAGTGTGTGGTCAGAGTGTGGAAAGAAGAAAGAAAAGGAAAAAAAAGGCAAAATAATGAAGACACTTCTCTCTCTCACACACACACACACACACACACGCACGCACACACGCATGCACACACACACGCACGCACACACGCATGCACACACACACGCACGCACACACGCATGCACACACACACGCACGCACACACGCACACACACACACACACACACACACACACACACACACACACACACACACACACACACACACACACACACAGACCCAAGACAATGAGTGAGTCTTTGGTCGTCTAAAAGGAAGAGGGGCTCCAGGCGGCTCTCACCTCCTACACACCAAACTGTACGGGCTGCAGACTCAACTCCGCTCCTTCCTTTTTACTCACTGCCTCTCCTCCTTCTCCCTCTTATTCATCTATCTCTTCCCTCTCTCTTTCATGCTTCCTTTTTTCTCTCGCTGATTCTACATTTTGCCCCTCATTCTTTTTCAACCGCTGCCCTCCCTTCTCTCCCTCTCTTTATCTCTTTCTTACTCTACTAATTGCTGCTGATCCAGTATTTTTTTGTGTAGCCAGAGAAATATTTCAGCGCGCTCTTCGGTGAACAATGGCACGTCTCTTCAGTGCGCACCGAGGCCTGGGAGACATGTCATGAATAACGCTGACTTTTCAATAGATTGCCTGTATGCTATTGAGTCCTGTTAAATGCTGTGGGATCTGATCTTTTACCTTGACCTGACATACTGTGTTTACTGATGTACTCTGGCAATGTATGATTAATGCTTCAGCGCTGTGTTTCTGCAGGCAGCAGAGGCACTAAAACCATCCCCTTTATACAGATTGTTTCTCCAACTCTGACCCGTGAAGTCACAGAGGAGAGATGGAATGAGGGACACAACTAACAGCCAGAGCCGTGAAGAGGTGAGGAGCAGCGTAAATCGCCACCAGAGGTTTCAGGTTCAACTGTGACTACCACATAATGTGCTGTTGTCACTCCTTGAGCGAAACAACCCACGCACCAATGCCACCATTCCTGCAGAGAGTGTATGCGGTCTGGACGTGGTATCCTGTAAGGGTTTCACCTCAGCGCCATCAGTGATGCACCTTTAAAATAATCAGCCATGTCAGAGCATTGTCTGGGGAGGGGTGTCCCTGGTGCTGCCTTCTTATTGCAAGTGGCAGGATCAGAGGCTATGTATCAAAATGGAAGTGATGCAATGTGACATCTGTCAGGGTGGATTGGAGAGCATTTATCTGCAAAAAAAGAAAAGCCCTGAACTGGAAAATGAAAGGCCAAGATGGTCCTTCCTTTAGCTGGAGGGGGAATATAAATTCTGAGGTCGGATCGCAGAGATGAGTCAAGGATTGAGTTTGGGTGGGGGCAGACATACAAAGATTTTCCTGGAAAAACCAACACTGCATTTACAGACTTGTGTAGAAACACTCAGTTACTCTGCATTGTTGGTTCTTTTTTTAAAACACAGAAAAGGTTTCTTTTTTACCTTGCTGCTGACAGTTTTGTTCGCAGCTGCGAGCTTCCTCGGAAACCCAGAAAGACAAGAACCAAAACCAGTGATAACCCTACCACACATCAAAGGCGTAACAGAAAAAATAACAGCAACAATGAAAAAAACACAACATAAACACACCAACAAAACCGTACACAACAGTTAGAAACAGGACATAAACGTGGAGTCGTTTACGAAATCCCATGCAAACTCTGCAATAAAGCATACATGGGAGAAACCGGACGCCAACTCAACACACGAACAATAGAACATAGAAAGGAGTAGAAGGAAACAAGTCGAAGACACACAAGAGCAGCAAAACAAGAAGCAGAAAGCACAATAAAGAAGTCAGCCGTAACAGATCACTGCACAAGAGAAAACCATGTAATGGACTGAGACAACACGAGGATCATAAACACCAAACAACAGAAATACAAAAGATGGATAAAGGAAGCTATAGAGCAGTGGTTCCTAACCTGGGGGTCCCGACCCCCACAAGGGGGCGCCAAAGCCTCTCAGTGGGTCGCCAGGACCTCTCCACTTTAAGGGGTTAAAACTTCATTTATTACTTGTTTATAGCCTACATTTTGCTCACATTTTTTTTTCATGAGTGAAAAGTTTACTGATATTAAGACAGGAAATAATTAGTACAGAAAGAGGAACACACTTTTAAGAACATTTTGGTCAGCTCACTGTTTTATTTTCAAGTGTCAAAAGTTCATTAAAGATAGGACTGGTTGATTAATCACAGCCTTTACAGTAAATAATCTAGTATAAACAGTAATATACACATTTAAGTACATTTTGCTCAGTGTATTTTTTATGTGTCAAACGTTTATTGAAAGGAATGATTGATTTATCAGTGTTTACAAGAAACAATGTGTTCAGAAAAGTAATACAAACTGTCAAGCACATTATGCTCTGTTTGGTTTTGTTAATGACTTTGTTCTGTACTGGAGCCTACTATTACTGTTATCTATTGAATCAAAGCATATTAAAATGTGCTTGAACAATTTGATCATTTCTTAATAATGTTTGTACTGGAAGAGAGAATGGGAGGGGGTCGTCAAAAATTTTACTGGTAAAAAATGGGGTCCCTTGGGAAAAAGGTTGGGAACCACTGCGATAAAGAGACGTGGATGTGGGACCACGAACAGAGACAATGGGGTTTAAACATTGGATCGCGCATGGGACTGCATCATCGAAGAGGGGAGAGCGGACAGCAGAGGGCGACAACGTCCTCTGCTGTCCACCGATAAATGGAGTAGGAAGTGACGCCACCATCAGCGTCAGCTCTGAGGAAGTTCACAGCCGTGGACGAAACGGTCAGCAGCAAGGTAAAAAGGAAACATTTTCTGTGTTTTATAAAAGAACCAACAATGCAGTTAGAAAAGCAACATGGTAAGAACATACCAAACACAGTTACTCGTGTAACCACTGCTGGCTTTTGATTTTTTTCCCCATCCATGCTTTAGCTCTAAAATCCCTTCTCAAGTGGACGTGACAAGTCCTGAGTTATTGCATGACCTTTATCAATTTCATATGAGGTGCACTCTGAGAATCACAGTGTTAACAGCTTCCATGTGACATGTCTTAAAATACGGCGCTGCATCTATTCTCCAGCTAAAAGATGGCTAACTGCAAGTCACCCTCATCTAAGTGGAATAATATTTATAGGACTTCAGGGGTAAAATGACCATGGCCACTATATTTCACAAACCTGTGTAGTATTGCTCTAGCCACACACACACACACACACGCACACGCACGCGCACGCGCACGCACACGCACACACACACACACATACACACACACACACACACACACACACACACACACACACACACACACACACGCACACAAAACCCTGAAACACAAGAGTCGTTTTCAGCCTGCTGCCTTTTGTTTCAGAGAACGAAACCAATCTGGAACACTCGCAGGAGGTGAAAGCAAAGATTATTTTATTTTTATATTACTTAGTAAGAGATCTGCGGCTGAGAGGAAGGTGGCACACGTGAAAGTAAATCGGCTTTGAAAACAAGTGAACAGTGCGTGAAAACAGATAATCTGGGAGATCCGTTCCACCGTCTAGGATTCCGCCCTGGCTGCTCTCAACTAAAATGCTCCGTTGGGAATTCAGGTCTTTTGTTCATCGCCAGTAGAGCTCCGGGAGTTGACGTCACTTCTCCCGGCATGCAACAGTTCAAATCAAAACGGCGCCATCTTGGCAGGCAGAAGCCCGCAGCTGGGCTATTTGTTATTGTCAGAAAACTCAACCAGACAGGAAATATGGTAGATTCCTGTTGTGCCCCAGGATGCAGAACAGACACGGACGACATAAGGGATGAGCCATCTACAGGATTCCCCAAGATCCGGAGCGCCGCAAACGTTGGATCATTGTAATAAAAGGAGCTAGTGACACTAAAATGAAGCTGTGGGATCCCGAGAGTAAAGGTTTTCGCTTATGCAGCGACCGCTTCATATCAGGTACTTAAACCAACGTTTCCTCAACTGTGTATGGTATTTATTTTAAATGCTTTTATTACGATTCTTAGTGGACTTCCTAAACTTATTTTGGCGTGGCTTTTTCTGTCTTATTACTCACAGCAACAAGTAAACGTCACGTAAAACGTTGCCTCGTGAGTTCTGCGTGCTGCCGTTTACGTGTTTTATGATCACAGCAATTAACCGGCTAAGCTGTATTTAATTTTTAAGCAATGGTTGATCAATTGTCAGATCACACATAAAAAGCACTTTGGATTGCTATTATCTGTCTCACCGAGACAGATCTCAGACAGATCCTGAGACGCTCCTGCCTGACATATTTATTTTATTCACGGAAAACAATCAAACTAGTGATTTCTCTTGCTGTTCAGTTTATACATTCAAACAGCACAGCACTCTATTTAAACTACTTACATGTAAATCTGTTATTTGTCCATCCATCCATTTTCATCCGCTTATCCGGAGTTGGGTCGCGGGGGCAGTAGCCTAAGTCGAGAGGCCCAGACTTCCCTCTCCCCAGCCATTTGGGCCAGCTCCTCCGGGGGAATCCCAAGGCCTTCCCTGGCCAGGTCCGCTCCGACAGCTTCTGGCATTTTTAAAAAGTATCCCAGGGGCACGGTACGGGTCGGAGATGTTTAATCTATTTAATTTCTGACTATATAAAACGATTTCTTCGGTTTTAAA